CTTGCTTTGGGCATGAATCCTGTGTGTCTGTTGTCTGTCTAGCTATCTATCAATTCTATATTTTATAATCACGCTATCTGTATCATATCAATCCAAGTTCTGATTGCATGTAATATGTGAACCTAATTCATACGAGAGAGAAGACAAAATAACTATCCTATAATAAAAGCGGTGTTTGGTAGTCAAATCTTGATACAAGAACCTTTGTGGAGAAAGACTAGGAACTACTCATTCTAAATGTTATGCTTTGACCAGTGAGTAAGTCCGAAGCCCAAATTCGGAAGTGACTTACTTGAGGCCACCCGGAGAGGGAGAAACCAAGCTTACATTCAGTTCACAGAATGACATAATGTTGTCAGAGGGGCCTTAGAGAACCCCGGTATTTGCTCAAGGCCACCACTCCTTGTCTTGACCCCTCTCTTAATGCACGATCACAATAACCTGTTGATGGGTCCGTGCCTCCAGGCCCACCCACCAGCTCCGTCCTGTCCGGGCGTTTCTTGAGGCCAGAGGCTGTGTCTTTCTCTCTATGACATATCTCCCTCTGCCATCACCCCCTCTTCCTCACATAACGCCCGCCCGCAGCACGTTTCCCTAAAAGGCTCCTGAATGTGGAAATGTGAGTAAAGCGCCACTTTAACAGATGGGGAGACTACATTTCAGAGGCGGGAAGGGACCCACCTAGGGTCCCGCAGCAAGGCTCGGGGGGAGGGCCTGTCGTAAGATCTCCTGTGTCTCAGTGAAGTCTTCTTTCCTCCCCTCCTGGGCTGGAAGAGGGGGCAGACATTTGCCTTCTCTCATTTCCCCCAAAAGCCACAGGTTAAAGTGTTTATGGCTTGGCAGCTAACCAAGACCACAAGTACTTCAATAGGTCAGAGTCTGACCTTGTCAAATGTCGTTGTCGTTGTTTTTCGTGTTTAAATGGTGTTAACAATCCTGCTTTCTACTATAATTTGAAAACTCTCCGCACCTCCATGCCAGGGACATTATAAACTGACCCCCAAATTCAGGCAATGAAACACAGACCCACCTAGCTGGCCACCTGGCTTCAAGGGTAAAAGTAACTTTACCATAGCTATTTCCCAAAATTGTATTATAACAATAATTATTTGTATCTGTGAAAAGCATTTCTTCTTTGTAGAGCACTCGGAAAATATTTCTGAAACAAAATTATGCTCTCTCAAAATAAGTTAGTGCTGTACTTTGAAAGCAGGTGGATTTATGGTGTAAGAAATACCTATACCTCAATAAAGCTTAAAAGACCATGAAAATCACAAGTGACTTTTATCTTCTTCCTGTGCTTTTCCCTATTTTCCAAGTTGTCCTTCATCGGAAGAAAAAACTAGAACAGTGCAGTGCAAGGAGAAGGATGAATTACCGCAAGGAGGGTGACCTCCCCTGGAGGTTCTGTGGCCTTTCGTAGTCTCCCGTGACGGGCAGGTGCTGAGACACAGCTGAGGGGAAGGGGACCGCTCCTCCCTCCCTATCGTGTGTGACCCTGGACAAATCACGTCACCCGGCCTCCATTCTCTCCCCTGCAACCGGATCTGGAGGCTGCCTTGCCCAGCTCCCCAAGCTCTGGCAGGCCTCCGTGACAGATGTGTTAGGACGCCGTAACCGTGATGGCCCCACATACGTGACAGGTCGTGCTATTACCAACCTCCTCTGCCGCACTCTCGTCAAGGTCTCTACCAAATATTTCAGGGGTGCCTGGCTGGCTAGTCGGAAGAGTCTGCGGTGATCTTGGGGTCCTGAGTTTGAGTCCCATGTTGGGTGTAGACTACTAAAAACAAACAGATGAAATTTCCAAATATTTTAAACATACAGAAAATAGAGAAAAAGTTTCAGGCTTGAGAAGGAGAAGGATTGCAGAGAACAGCTATGGACTGGCCACCCAGCTCTGTCAAATCTTGACCCTCTGCCATCTTTGCTTCAGATATTTTTAATTTCCTAAGAAATAAATCACCACAGATAGAATTAAATCCCCTGTGTGTCTCTTTCTGATCTCATTCCCAACTCTCCCAGAGGTAACTGCTAGTGTAAATTCAGTGACTTTGATTTCCTGCACACATTTTAGCACTCTCTGTACCTGACTGTGTCCATATATATATATTGTCCATATATATATGTATATATGTATTTCACAGTTTTGGGTGTTTTTAAAAACCTTTTTATATCACACTGTACCTATTCCACAACTTGATGCTGTTTTTTTTTTTCTTCTAGAAAATATCTGTGTTGAAGCTTATAGTCTTGGTTTATTTTTACACCCCGTATATCATTTCATTGTATGAACAGATCATGATTTATCTATCTGGACGGCTGTGGATGGACAATTAATTAAGAGCTAAGTTTTCAGCATTATAGGCAGAGTGAGTGGAGTAGGGTCACTGTGTGGCAGATATGGGCATCTTGGACTTTATTAGAGGTTGTCAACACTTGTCCAATGTAGCTGGAGCCACTTACATCCCCATCAGTGGTGTATGAGGGTTTCACCCATGCCACGTGCTTAACACCCCACCACTCGCCCCACGACAACAGACTTCTCACTCTGCCTGTCTGATGGATATGAAATGGTGTAGCCTGGCTCTTTTCATTTGCATGTCTCACATGACCAGTGAGGCTGAACTTCTTTTCATATTTTTGACAATTTAGATTTCCTCTTTTGTGAATTGCCCATTGATATCCTTAACCATTTGTTTTTATTTTTTTAGCAACTGGATTGTCTTTGTCTTGTTTGTCCCCACTTTCAAGCCACTCCTGCCAGATCCCAAAGCAAATTCAGATCATGGCACTTCCCACAGCTCTCTCTAGAAGATGCACGGCTTAGCTTGTCACCTTGCTCAGTGGCCCTGGTTTGCCTGTGGGCTGCAAATCGAGCTCAGCGCCAAAGTCAGCTCACCTTCTCTTCCAACCTCACCTTCCATTGCTTCCCTCCACACTCCTAATTCCAGCCCCATAAACACAGCCTGCTCTGTCCCAGGCTTCCTGCACATACCATTCCCTCCACCTGGAAGGCTCACCTCCCTATTTCCAGATTCTACCTACGTGCCACCTTTCCCATGGTATTTATACACTGTTCTCAATTCGAAGTTAGAGCTGCCTGTAAACAATCACTGGTGACGCTCTCTACCTTTCTGGTGGCATTTCTCACTTCCTAGTGTGTAGGGCTTTAACAACTCACTTTGCATACCTTTTTTTCCTTTACAAAAGTATCTGCTCCTTCATTATGCTATTTTAAACTTCATTCATAATCTGATTTTAACCTCATCTATGCAACTGCCTGTGAAATGGGGTAGTGTTCATAGGTCCTTTGAACAGATGAGGAAACGGGGCCTAAAGGGGGACCAGCTCACCCAAGATCCCATAGGGACCCCAAGGCAGAGCTGGACTCGAAGCCAGGACTCTCCCAGTCCCACGGTCTAGATCACTGCACCATGCCCCCCGTATGTGTGTGTTGTCGCTGCTTGTGCCCACACCTGATTCCCCCTTGAGACGGCGGGCCTCCTAGCTCCCACTCTAGTCCCCACCCCCCAAGGGTGCCCTCAATGAGTATGTAATTGCTTGAAACTACAACAATCACAACACACCCACTGGGTGTCAGGGGCTGTGCAAATATTAACTCTAATCTTCACAGCAACTCTATTCAGATAAGGAAACTCAGGGTCCCACAGCCAGTAATCTGTGGAGCTGGCCTTTCAGACCCAGAGGTAAGCCCTTCCTCCCATCGGCTCCGCCCCTCGCATCCTAAAGGCAGAACCAGCCAGCTGGGAGATCATACCCCCCCCGGCTGGGAGGCAAAGGGCCAAGAGTGGGCAACTTGACAGTGAGCAAGGAAGGCTGGGATGGGGATGTCCACTGACCACACCCATGATGCACACACTGTCCAGCCTCGCGGGGGTCTGCAGAATGGGATGGTAGCAGGTCAGGGGAGGGCTGAGGGACGGGGTGGGCGGTTGTTTGCAAGTGTTCTCCACCCCACCCCCACAGAGAGTGAGTCTGGATAGGGACAAGTCTGCCCTTTCTCCCCTAGGAAAGGACGCCATCTGACTGGGGCCATGTCCGTTGCTTCCGTCTGCTATTCCTAGGACCCTGCATGTTGTCTTTCACCGTGTGCCGATTATTTATACGTTGTGTTTGTGTATGTGGCATGTATTTGCGATTGTATCTTTGTGTTGTGTTTGTGTGCGATATGTCGTTGGTGTACTTTCCCTCCTGTGTCTGTGTTGTTACTGAGTTGTGGGTCTATGCCTGTTGCTCGTCTACCTTTCGCGTATGTTCTGTTGTGTGTCTATGCTGTGCGAACTGTGTCTCCGCTTGTGTGTATCTATGCCTATACTCTGTAAATGTCTCTGTTGTGTGTCGTGGGTTGGGACCTTGGGTCCGTGCTGGGTGCGCTGTGTACGTTTCCACCTTCGGCTGGTGCCGTGTCGCTGTGCCGCCGTGCAGGCGGCGAGCGCGGGCGGCCGTGTGTGTACGCATGAGTCCCGTCCGCCGCCCCGGCTCGGCGGCTCGGCGGCTCCGCGGCTCGGCG